CACAGAAACGTTACTTAGGGCCACAGAATTGTTTACTGAGGGACAACGTTACTTAGGGCCAGACAGAAACGTTACTTAGGGCCACGGAATTGTTACTCAGGGCCAAGACACTTGAATTGTTACTGAGGAGACACAGAATTGTTACTGGGGACACAGAATTGTTACTCAGGGACACACAATTGTTAATCAGTTACTCAGGGACAGACACAGAATTGTTACTGAGAGACACAGAATTGTTACTGAGGGACACAGAATTGTTACTCAGGGATGACAGACACAAGAATTGTTACTGAGGGACAACAGAATTGTTACTGAGGGACAGACACAGAATTGTTACTGAGGGACACAGAATTGTTACTGAGGGACACAGAATTGTTACTGAGGGACAAACACAATTGTTACTCAGGGACACAGAATTGTTACTCAGGGACACACAGAATTGTTACTGGGAGAACAACACAGAATTGTTACTGAGGGACACAGAATTGTTACTCAGGGACACAGAATTGTTACTCAGGACACAGAATTGTTACTGAGGGACAAACACAGAATTGTTACTGAGGGACAGACAGAATTGTTACTGAGACAGACACAGAATTGTTACCTGAGGGACACACAGAATTGTTACTCAGGGACACAGAATTGTTACTCCAGGGACAGACACAGAATTGTTACTGAGACAGACACAGAATTGTTACTGAGGGACAGACACAGAATGTTACTGTCAGAGGACACAGAATTGTTACTGAGGGACACAGAATTGTTACTCTGAGGGACAGACACAGAATTGTTACGAGGGACAGACACTAGAATTGTTACTCAGGGACATAAAGACACAGAATTGTTACTCAGGGACAGACACAGAATTGTTACTGAGGGACACAGAATTGTTACTGAGGACACCTGAATTGTTACTGAGAGGGACACAGAATTGTTTACTCAGGGACAGACACAGATTGTTACTTCAGGGACAGACACAGAATTGTTTACTCAGGGACACAGAATTGTTACTGAGGGACACATGAATTGTTACTGAGGGACAGACACAGAATTGTTACTCAGGGACACAGAATTGTTACTGAGGGTACACAGAATTGTTACTCATGGGACAGACACAGAATTGTTACTCAGGGACACAGAATTGTTACTGAGGACACAGAATTTGTTACTGAGGGACACAGAATTGTTACTGAGGGACACAGAATTGTACTCAGGACAGACACAGGAATTGTTACTCAGGACAGACACAGAATTGTTACTGAGGGGACACCATAATCGTTGAATTTAAAGAGTATGTCAGACAAATGCAGAGGTAGTGGCAGATGGAGAGCAATGTTTTTGGAGCGAGCAGACGTGGCAGCAGAGGAAGGGGTCGAGGCAGCACTAGTCGCAGCCAGAGGCCATTGCTCCCGGGTGTCATCCAGCGGTCGTGTCTCCACCGACAACCCTGCCGTCATCGATTGGTTGGCTCGGTCGTCTTCCTCTTCCCAGGTCACCTCTGACACCTACAGCCAATCGGTTGGTGGGTACGTCTGACACTCAACCGTTAGTTGGCATGGCCCGGGAGCAAGCCCACTGAAATCACGTGTCCCTCGACCTGCCCCTGTCCTTTTGGTGTTCCACTCACCAAGCGAAGTATCGCATGCTGTGGGCTCAGCCCACTGTACAGTGAGGAAGAGCTAACAGAGGGCGGTCAGGGATACGGGGGGAGCGAGACATCCGCCTCTTCAGCTGGCCAGGCGAAGAAGTAGTGGCCGAGGAGAGTGGCTCGGTAGCCCGATCTAGAGACAGGTCTTGTCTCCTGACCCACACGCAGCCGAGTAGCGGGGCTAGTAGTGAGAGCGGAGACCCTAATTGATGATGATGAGGCTGGATCGCACTTGGCTGCCTCGTCGTCATCAGGCTCTTGCTTCCGCATCATCAGGAGAAAGTGGGTGGCAGCTTGGCAAGCGAGCAAAACTGTCGGTGGGTTGCCCGAGGACGTGCAGCAGGGGTCGCAGCAGTGTGTCAGTGGAGGCAAACGGCCACGGAGTAGAGCACCAGCTCTATAAAAAAGCACTACAGCCTACCACCACGGCCATAGTAGTAGTTGCCGGTGTGCACGGAGGGAAGTAGCAGTCAGCCAGTGAGGAGGTATCGGGGGCAAAGTTTCCTACTCGGCGGGTGTGGCAATTTTTCGTCAAGCCGCGCCGAGGAAGTAAACGTAGCCGTATGTCGACTATGTGGCCAGAAAGTCAAGCCAGATTACGGCTGGCCGCGCCTAGCCAGGGGCCCATGTTGGGACTACAGCGTTGCGGCAAGCATATGCAGCGTCGCCAATTTGGTGGCTGGCGTAAAACCTGTGATAAAGATATGGGCGGTTCTGCCTGCCCCAGCCCCGCTCCATCACCCGCTCCGTTACTTGCTCCGTCACCGACGTCAATTGCCCTCATATCAGCCAGTCAAGGCTCCAACTCCTCTGCTGAGGGGAGTTGTCGCTAGTTGGCATCTTCCGCTCGTTCAGATGCTCCTTCTCCTGCTACTCCTCCTCTTCACGGATTCCGGTTCAGCAGTCTTTCCTTGCGGAATCCGTTTCCATAGAGACAACAGTTTGCGAGCACGCCACCCGACGGTGCAAAAGTGCTGAACGTCCTCCCTTCCTGTCAGTTGCTGGTGCTGCTGTCCCTCCTTTCCAAGTGGTGGGACTCAGCACCGCTTTCCGAGAAATGATGCGCATTGTGCAGCGCCGCGGTGGAGAGTGCCAAGCCGTCATTTCTTCGCCCAAAAAAAGGCAGTTGCCAGCCCTGCATTCACCATGTAGAAGAGATGGTGGGCCAGTCTTTGAGCCAAATGTCGGTCTCTGCCAAAGTGCACGGCGCGCGCCGACGTGTGGAGCTGTAACTTACGGTCAGGGACAGTTACATGTCATTTACGGCCACTGGAGTCTGTGAACGTATCGGTGCCGGCACAGCCGCACCAGCAACTTGGACAGGTCACGCCACTTTTTGCACTCCACGTTTGCATCGTCCTTGGTCCACAAATAGATGTCCGCCTCTACCACCTCTTCTTCCGCCGTGTTGTCCTCAGCCGCCACCACCGTGTCCAAGTCCCATTACTCCGACCGGCATAACACTATGTGCAGGGCGCAACGGTGTCACGCTGTGCTGCACACTGGTAGCTGCCTTGGGCGAAACGTAGTCAACATGGGGAGGAACTTCTCAGTGTAATTGAACAGAGAAAATCGACAGATGGCTGTCTCCGCAGCAAAACTGAAAATCGGAACCATGTTGACACGACAACGGAAAGAAATTGGTGTCTGCTCTGCGTCAAGGAAGGTTGTGCCATGCGCCACTGCATGGCTCACGTGTTTCATTCTGGTTGTCAAGCCGGTTCCTTAAATCCACCATGCCCACTGCAAGACATCCTTAAAATGTCACGTAAACTTTGCAATGCATTTCAGCCATTCCTACACCGCAAAGCACAGACCCAATCTCCTTGGAGCTGCAGCGGCAGAAACTGGAATTGCACAGCATCGCCTCTGATCTGCGACGTTGCAACAAGGTGGAATTCAACCCTACACATGTTAGACCGCCTTTACGAACAGCGAAAGGCCATCACCGATTTCCTGATGTTACAAATAGCGAGATAAAGGTACTCCCCCTGTGTAACTTCGATGTCAGCCATTGGCAGCTCATGCGTGACACCCCTGCCGCTTGCTCAGGCCCTTTGAGGGGAAGGCCGCGCTATTCGTGAGTCGGCAGGACTATGGGGAGGAATGAACGACGTAATTCCTCTGTTGCTCCGTCCTGGAACACAAATGCTGTTAACAATGGCTGGTCAGGGTGCGGTAGAGTGGCGCACAGATCTCAACGCCACATGACCCTGTGGGGGCAGGACAGGAGAAGAGGAGGCAGGTAGAGAGGAGGACATTTGTAGCTCGAGGAATTATTGAGTGAAAGAAATGGGTGGTTTTTCCACTCAGCGGGGACAGGAGTGGGAGGAGCAGGAAAAGCATCTGGATAGAGGAGGAGGAGAGGAGGAGACAGAGGACCCAGACGCACACCGTTAGGCAGTATGCTGTGCAGAAGGTGGCAGGGAAGGAGTCCCTCGCATTCCTTGGCACAAATGGCCCATAGCATGCTCGGTTGCTTGCGTTTAGCGACAAGCCGAATAATAACCATCAGGACAGAGAGGGATGACTTATGGCTCGTCCACCTTGTTGAGACTCTCGCTACCATCAAAAATGGTGCCCTTTTCACACTGCTGAGAGGGAGGCCAAAATTTTTTTTTTTTTAAAATTAATAAATAAAATTCGTACTATAAAAAACCACCTATGCGTAGTCAGTTGGTGCATCTGCTTTGTGCCAACTCGTCCATCCATCAAGACACTGTGGGCCCTGTGCGCTCGCGTTCCGCTGCCATTGGCAGCAGGGGGAGGGGTGGGGCATCGGTGGTATGGAGCAGTGGCTAGCTCCACAGCATTAGCGGCGGCTGCCTCAGCAGTCTGCAGTCGATGATGAGGTAGCTTTCTTCACCAGCGCAGTAGAGGAAGGACTATCTAACCAGCCGCAGCAGCAGCATCAGGTGGACCGGGAAGCAGGACTCAAACAACAGGCTTGGGCCTACTTGGACAGCACCCTGCCAACCGAGGTAGAACAATTTCCCTTTGACTACTGGGCAACGAAACTTTGACCTTTGGCCCAACCTAGCTGAATTTGCCCTTGAAAGGCTGTCATGCATCGGCCAGTAGCGTGGCATCTGAGCGCGTGTTTAGTGCGGCAGGAGGTATTGTAACTCCGCGTGGAGGACAACGACTGTCCACCCAAAGTGTGCGAGAGGAACTCACGTTTGTGAAATGAATCAGGCAAGTGCATTAGCGCTGGATTTCAAACACCAGTTCCTGACACAACTGACTAAATCCGCCTATGAATCATGCCCTCAAACATGTGCCACTTTCAGGTCTCCTCACACTGCTGGTGTGTTCCATTTTTTGTGTCATAGGGTGCTGGCAGAGATTACGGGCCTCCCCATTGCTGCTGCCAGGCCCCGTAATCTGCCGTGGGCCCCTGTACCGCCTCTTCTCATGCTGCTGCCTAGGTGTCCAGAGTGTCTCAATGGGTCCCTTGTACGGCTTCCATTGCTGCTGTCTCCATCGCTCACACGCTTTTGCCATTGTGCCACTTTCAGGTCTCCTCAACACACTGCTGGTGTGTTCCATTTTTTGTCATAGGGTGCTGCAGATTACAGGGCCTCCCATACGCTGCTTGCCCCCCCCCAGGCCACCTAATCTGGCCATTGGGGGGCCACCTGTACCGACCTCCTCATGCTGCTGACCTGGGTCCACAGTGTGTCATGCCATGTGCCGCACTTCAGGTCTCCTCACACTGCTGGTGTGGTTCCATTTTGTCATAGGGTGCTGGCAGATTACGGGCCTCCCATAGTGCTTGCGAGCCAGGCCCCTAAGTCTGCCATGGGCCCCCTGGTACCGCCTCCACATGCTTGCTGCCGCCAGGGGGGTCCAGAGTCTCTCACATGGGTCCCTGTACGGCCTCCCATTGCTGCTGTCTCCATCCTGCCACTCTCCTCGCCATGTGCCACTTTTTCAGTGTCCTCCTCACACACTGCTGCGTGTGTTCCATTTTTGTCATAGGTGTGCTGGCAGATTACAGGCCTCCCCATAGCTGCTGCAGGCCCCTAATCTGCCATTGGGCCCCTGTACCGCCTCCGTCATGCTGCTGCCAGGTCCACAGTGTGTCATGCCAAGTGGTGTGCCACTTTCAGGCCTCCTCACACTGCTGGGTGTGTTCCATTTTGCTCATGTCGTTGTGCTGGCAGATTACGGGCCTCCCATTGCTGCTGCCAGGCCCCCTAATCTGCCATGGGCCCCTGTACCCGCCTCCTCTCATGCTGCTGAGCCAGGTCCACAGTGTATCATGGGTCCCTGTTACGGCCATGCCCCATTGCTGCTGCCAGGCCCCTAATTCTGCCATGGGCCCCCTGTACCGCCTCCTCATGCTGCTGCCGCCAAGGTCCAGAGTAGATCTCATGGGTCCCTGTACGGCCTCCCTATTGCTGCTGTCTCCATCGCCAACACTCTGCCATGTGCCACTTTCAGGTCTCCTCACACACTGCTGATCGTGTGTTCCGATTTTTGTCATAGGGTGCTGGCAGATTACAGGCCCGCTCCCATAGCTGCTGCCAGGCCCCTAATCTGCCATGGGCCCCTGTTACCGCCTCCTCATGTGCTGCCAGGTCCACAGTGTGTCATGCCATGTGTGCCACTTTTCAGGTCTCCTCACACTGCTGGTGATGTTCCATTTTGTCATAGAGTGCTGTGGGGCAGATTACGGCCTCCCATTGCTGCTGCCACGGCCCCTAATCTGCCATGGGCCCCTCTGTTACCGCCTCCTCATGCTGCTGCCCAGGTCCACAGTGTCTCATGGGTCCCCTGTACGGCCTCCCATTGCTGCTGTCTCCATCGCCACACTCTGCCATGTGCCACTTTCAGGTCTCCTCACACTGCTGGTGGGTTCCATTTTTGTCATAGGATGCTGTATGGCTCTCCCATTGCTGCTGCTCGAAGTCCACTGCCACACTGTGGCTCGACACACTACTGGTTTTGGCCACGTGACTGCCCAAATGAGTGAGATTGTGTGCGTGATTCTAGAGATCGACGGCACTCATCTGCATGTCATACTGACTGATAGTATTATTTCTCTTCCCCAGGCAGACTCCAAGGGCATTTTAAATTAAAGGTACAGTGTTCTGCACTAATATAAAGGCTCTCTGAAGCCTAGAAAACACCCTTTTATAAGTTAAATTCGCAGCGAATATATTCGACTCGAATCAAAATTTTTTTTCTACGGAATGTCGCCGAATCAGTGTCGAATCAGAAATTTTTGAAATAATTCGCTCATCTCTCTAGTGATATAAACTTCAAAAAAAATAGGTTGCGCGCTTAAATACATGCAAAAGTATATACAAGAAAATAAATAACAAAACAATAAATGAAACAATATTTATAAATCAAAAATAAAATCCAGCAAAAAAACGAAAAAGTCCAAAAGTTTCAAATAATCAATTAATGTCCAAAATAATTCATCACCAAGTAAATCCACCACCAAAAAATGGTTCTAATAGAAGAACTCACCAGAGTAATATGCTGATTGTTGACAAAACCAGGCATATAGTACTTGTTATTCTGGGACGAAATGAATTATATGGTGACAAACAACACTGAAGAAATGAGGGATGAACTCCAACAGATGATGTGCTGCAAAGTAAAAATCCACTCCAAAGGTGATTTAGTATCCAAACTGAGAGATGATCAGACCGTCACTCAAAAGAAAAAAACGAACAATCATGGTGCAGTATGTTTTTAAAAAGCATCAAACTTTAATAAAGAAATGCACTTACAAGCAAGGTGTCCAGACTGACACCAGTGTAAACAGCATGTATAATAAATATAGGCGACTCAGACCCAGCCAAACATGCACATGCAACGTGCAGACAAACCAGGAGTATTCTGAACCTCACATCCAAAGGCACCGCCCTAAGCTTTTCCTCATCGAAGTCCTCATGGAGCCGATGGATGTGAGAGGTCAGCTGTTCATTAAATATTCACTGCACCAAACTGACAGCTGGTGACTAATGAGAGTGGACTGTGCAAACAATCCTATCACAAACAACAAACTGTCATATAAACAAATGGATACAATAGATGGGTAAAAATATAACAATATGGTAACTAGCAAACATAACTTCAATATAAACAGATAAAAAAAGATAATTAGGAACATAAACATCTTGGGAGACAACATAAACACATGTGTATATAACATAAGAATATATAAAAAATATCTATACAAAACATAAACATAATGAAGAAAACATATGAGAGAAAAAAAAAAAAGTTTTGTATATCCTATAAGTTTATAGGCTAGGTTTTACGCAGGAATAGGCATTTGCAGGCAAGTGGCATGCAGAACACTCTAGGTCGGGTGTCGGCATCCCGCAGCTCCGGAGCCGCATGTGGCTCTTTTTCACCTTTCCTGCGGCTCCGGAGCACACTGCCCACCAGGTGACAGGCAATAGGGTCGGCAAGCCGCGGCTCTTTTAATGCAGATCTTCTGTGTGCCGGGCGCCCGCTGGCAAACATTGGCTGTCAGGATGTAGGCGGAGCAGCCCGGATGTAGGCGGGGCAGCGTGACGAAAGTCCTACTCCTCTCCTCTCACAGTCCGCCCTGAAGACCAGAAACGGGCGCGGGAAACCCAGCGAGAGGGAACGCGCGGAGCAAAGGTAAGTGAATTCACACAATATGGGGAATGGAATTACTATGGGGGATGAATTACTATAGGGGGATGAATTACTATAGGGGGGAATGAATTACTATAGGGGGGATGAATTACTATAGGGGGGATGAATTACTACGGGGGTATGAATTACTACGGGGGATGAATTACTATATGGGGGATGAATTACTATAGGGGGGATGAATTACTATGGGGGATGAATTACTATATGGGGGATGAATTACTATAGGGGGGATGAATTACTATAGGGGGGATGAATTACTATATGAGGGATGAATTACTATATGGGGGATGAATTACTATGGGGGATGAATTACTATATGGGGGATGAATTACTATATGGGGGATGAATTACTATATGGGGGGATGAATTACTATATGGGGGATGTATTTTCAGTTTTTTTAAAAATGTTTCTCTCAAAATAAATTTCAATCGTGGTTTTGGCGAGATTTGGCTCAGTTGAAAAAAAAGGTTGCCCACCACTGACCTAAGGCTATGATTGTGATTATGACGATACACTGTGGCCCTGATTAACCCTTTGCTTACTGGGCCCTTAAACCCCCTTCATGACCAGAGCGTTTTTTGCAATATATGCAGTGTCGGATTTGTTTTAAATGTTGCAATGGTTTTGCGGCTCCAGTCTTTTTTTCCCTCTCGGAAACGGGTCCAAGTGGCTCTTTATGTCTTAAAGGTTGCAGACCCTGCTCTAGGTAATGCCCACATGCGGAGCCAAGATTCTATAATAAAATAACTAAAATCCAATGAATGAAAGGGGTGGACTGGGGACAGTAAGGCTAGGGAGGGAAGAACTAGATGATGCTCAATATGATCCTTCAATCAGGGAGGGCTCTCTTTGACTTTCTGCAGCATCTGTGAGCCTGTTAATGTATACTGTGGCTGTCAGTGTCCCCATAACTCTCCTTGCCAAGAGCATTGCTTCTCTAAGGGGTTTATTGTGACTTTTGGAATTCAATAAATGCCAAATAGGAAAACACAAGACATGGAACTTACCATTTCTGCTACCAGCAGAGGCACATTAAAACAAACACACATCCTCAACCGTATGCTGAAAATGTCCCACATCAGCTCTAAGACCAAGAATTGAGCGATTACATGACCACTAAGTATTTTGGTCTGCTCAGAGTAGAGAGTAGGTATAGAAATTGTGCACACAGAGATGGACGCGGACATCCATCTTGCTAAGGATCCTCCATATTGTATCTATCTCCCTCCAATCCCCCCCTCCCTCTCTGTTGAGTGACACATGGTCCCTGTGTGCTGGATTCAGAAGTGCACAGGCAATCAGGCACAGCGGGGACAGCTTCATGGTTATAAATCCCAAATTAGCTGGTGCCCAGGTGTCTGTTAGCTTCCCAATCTGAGATAATAGTAAAAGCCATAAACCAGTCCTTCACGGGACTTCAAAGACATTCCAGCTAGCCGTAAAACAGACAACACATTTAAAACCCACTTTTCCATATAATTTTATATCTGGAGATGGGAAATAATTACATAAAAACCAAGCATATATTCGGATAGCTCAGCTTAATGCGAGTCGTCTGATATCTTATACCCCCTAATTGAAGTCTACTGGAGAGCAGAAAGCCATATAGTTCTAGCTGAAATAGTAAACTATGCCATATTTGATGTCTGGACGTTCAGAATGTCGTTCTGCATATTAATCTACTAATGGCTAGGCTGCTACATGTACCTAGGGAAGGTTATTGACCATAGTATAATTTGCGAGGAATTTGGTCATAGCCTGAGTTCCCCGCCTACAACACACCTCCCAAATGAGGCGATTGGTTCTCTGCTTTAAGGAGACAACCTGCTGAGTTCCTAGAAAAAGGCTGTCAGGTTTGGAGAAGTAAGTTGAAGAATTCTCCCTTTTTAACATCGGAACCAACTTGGGAGATGTTACCCTTTTGCTCTGAAACCTGATCTGCTTAACCCAGGACTTTTGGCAAGTACTCTACCTCTCTAAATTTCTTTCTGTTATCTTCCTGTTGTGTTATTGCTCTCTGTATTTATATATATATATATATATATATATATTGGCTACATCTTTTTCTGTAAATATTTTTATTGCACCCTTTTGACCTTTTTAGTAATAAATCCTATTATCTGAAAAGTGTTGAGCGGTTTCTAGAGCTCTTTAATGCAAACTAAGAATCCCTGTCTCTGAAGAGCGCTACTGTGTGTTTTAAACCTCTATATATCTCTGTCTGTGGTGACAGTGGTATACAGATGATTATTCAAACATCATAGTGTTATTTCTAATATTGGCGAGTTTCCTCCTTTTCTCTACAAAAAGGCGGTGGTGGCAGTGTGAAGGGTTAATTGCGTAATTTACTTGACCCAGTAACAATCACTCTCAGGCTGCTGGCACATAGATTGTGGTCCATTAGCTGGAAAATCTTTGTGCAGGGTGTAGCTGAGCGTGGCATTGTTACGCACGTGACAGCGCGGTTTTAGATTGGCTAGTCCTTCGGTCACGAGTTGGTAAGAAGGGCTGGGGGTCTGACGCCATGACCATCACAGTAGGCTCTACCCCTCCAGTACTGGCTGCCTCTGTTGGCTTTGGGTCTTGGCAGCCTGCTAAAAGGCAAATCCAGCCGATGATTAGGCAGCCAGGTGGATCCCTTCAATAGCATTGGGATCCTTCCAGAGTCTGGAGTGGCTCTGCTGCCTGCATCAACTGATAGCGAGCAACAGTCCACTATTAGCTGACTCCGGGTCACAGGAGAGCATAACTAACTGCACTCATATGACCCACAAGAGAAGTATGGCTAATAAATCTTTGGTCATATGTCTCTTTTAAGTGTAATATTGTCCTTGGCAGAGTGGAAAACTCTCACCTTGGAAATTAACCATTAGGGGTTCTTAAATGAATGTAGCGTGCATGTGGTCTGAGTTATCACTCTTAAATATATCAAGCCCTATATATCCTATCCAGTTGTTTTTCTTTTGCTTGGCAGTGTTTTCTAAATGTGTTCCCTTCATTCAATTTCTTCTTAAGAGATTTAAGAAAATTATGCTGCTAACAGCTGTTTATCATTGTAAGTGAATGTGAAACTATCCCCCACATGCCTCTGGAAATAGAAAACAACTAAGACGTTCCTTGTACATTTTATTTAATTACCTGATTTATGATTCAGCACTTGACCCCTGCCCCACAAGCCGTTCATTTCAGTATAGATATTGATTATTTAATTTTTCCCTAGTGAATATTTAGTGAACATTGTGATTTTCTTTAAAGATGAACTATGGGAAAAGTAAAAATCCTCCCTTGCAGTGGTTGTGCCCCTGTGTTGCAATGGCTAAATGCTTATTTTTA